ATGCCACCTGATGAGAGTGGCCCTGCACTCACTTCCTGCCTGTTCTCTGTGGAATCTCAGCTTCCTGAGGACATTTACCATCTTATCCCCGGCTTCTAGAGCAGTCCACAGCCCACAGCAGGTGCTCAATAGATAGTTGCTGAATGAATAAACGAATGGATAAGTGATTGAACAGATGGATGGAGGTTAAGGCCACATGGTGCTGTTGGGGACCTGCTGGGCTTGGACTCCTGGCCCCGTACCTACTGGCTGTGTGAAGTTGGCCAGCTTTTTAATCCCGAAGCCTTGGTTTTCTTATCTGTAAAACAGAGACACATGCCTCCTAAGACTGCTATGAGGACTGGAAATAAGAATTTCAGAGCCAGCGCTGACGGCCTAGCAATTAAAGTTCAAGTGCTCACCGCATCTGCAGCCCAGGTTTGTTTCCCAGTCACGGAACCACACTACGTGCCTGCCACTTGTCACGCAGTGGTGACGGCTCACATAGAAGAACTAGAAGCACCTACAACTAGGATATACAACCATGCACTGGGACTTAGGGGAGGAAGAAAAACCGAGAGGAAGATTGGCAACAGATGTTAGCTTGGGGCCACTCTTTCCAGAAAAAAGAAAAAGAATTCTAAAGCACCTCACACACAAGCAACGCCTGCAAAGCGACAGCCGTTTCTGAGCTGCCTAATGCAGAAAGTATACAAATAGGTCAGAGGGAAAGAAACCTCCCTTTCCCAGACGAGTGTGAGGTAAAGTCATAAGCTGCCAGTTAACTTACTAATGGCACAAACACCTCTGGCTAAAGTGCCCGGGTCCAGCCCCTTACGAAGAGGACAGAGCCCTGGATTCCTTCCCCTACGCGTCCAGCCAGGCTCTCTGCCTACAGAAAACAAATGTGAGTGAGTCATCTAACCCAGAGATTTTATATATAGAGGAATAAGGTTGAGCCACCCTGGCAGGAGTGTTGCAGATTGATTATTAAATGACTGAAACACACTTTGCAACTAAAAAGTGCCATGTATCTATCTATCCACTCACCTATCTGCTGAAAGAGGACTCAGAAGCAAGCTTGTGGACAGGAATCTCACCTGTAAACCTCTCAGCTATCTGACAAGCCCAATCCATAAATAAATTGGTTACTATCTTAAACTAGGTAACGATGTGGCATTAAGTGGTAACGTGCTGTCATTTTAAAAAAGCTGACAGCATACTGCTGTTCAACAAAAGACTTGGGTCAGTCTCCCTCTTGGGAGCCCAGAAACCATCTGGCTCAGGGGGTTGGAGCAGACTGGCTCCTTCTGAGGAATTGATGTCACAGCTCTGGCTGCTTCTCCCTCCCCTCCTCTGCGCTTGCACACTGAAGGGTCAGATCCAGATGCTAGGTGGGCCAGGCCTCTCCTGAAGCCGAGTAAGCAGCCTCTGCAAAACTTACTATTATTATTTTGGCAAAGGCAACACACAGACATGGGACAACATTCCAAAGGTCATGAAGGGCATCAAGAACAAGTAAGCTTCCCTGTTACCCACCATGTTATGAACATGGCTTTAACATCCGTGATGTCAGCGTGTACTGTCTCTCTGAAGGTGGGGTAGTCCTGGACCCGGGCTTGGTGATGGTTCTGACGTGTCATCCATCCACGTGACACAGGTTTGCCGTGCGTTTCTCTGTGGCAGGCTCCATCAGACTTCAGAGGCCCTGCTCTCAGTCTGCACCTGTGTGGTGGGGGAGGGGGAAGGAGGGCCTGGTTTCCACTAAGAATAGCAAGGGAGGGGAGCGCATGAGGTGTGGCGGGTGGGCGGGGGGCTGACAGACAAGGGGGCATTTGAGAGGCCGGAAGAGTCAGCAGAAGCCAGTCAAGTCACCTCTGGGGCACAGAGCCAGAGACAGCAGTCAAGGCCCTGAGAAGCCAGAGGCCCCTGGGATGCTACTCGGGCACTGTGGAGTGTGAGCGGCAGGAGGAAGTGGGCTGATCAGGAACCTGTTGCTGCCCCGTGTTTGAGATGGCCCTTCCCAGGGCAGCAGCCGGACAGGTGGGTACAGTCTCAGGCGTGGGTCTGACGAGCTCGGCAGTACCCAGAGGAAGGCGGAGCAAGGACCAAGCATGGGCACCCCGGGACTTCAGGTGGAGCACCAGGAGGAGCCAGCAAAGGAGGCTGAGAGAGGTGGGAAGCTGGGGGAGGATCCGGAGTGCCAACATCCCGGTCGTCCCCGTTCCTGGGAGGCAGTCAGGGGAGTCAATCATATTGGAAGATCAGCAGGCACCAGGGGTGGGGACGGGCCGCTGGATTAGGAGGCCAGTGCTAACTGCGAGGATGGGCCCAGCGGGGTGTGCGCAGAAGCAGCGTGCTTTGAGGGTCTAGAAGAGCGGCCCGCTGGCACTTGGGGCAAAGACTGGTCGGCTTCTAGGAGCTTTGCAGCAAAGGGGTATAGGGCAAAGGAGGATTTTATAGGATCTGAGACAGGCAGCGTGCTTGTGAGCTGCTGGCATGACCCAGGAGGGGGTGGCAGGACGGAGGAGGCACAGATGTCGGCGGGCCTGCCAACTCAGTGGTTAGATCTCCGACTGCAAATCCTTCCTCGGTGAAGGGAAAAGCATCCGTCAGGTGTGGAGGCCTGTTGGTGGCTTGTGGAGAGAGGATCAGGGGTGAAGTGACATCTTGGAGCAATGAGGGCACAGGTGCAGAGAAGCCAGGAGGTCTGGTGCCTGGCAAGGGCGCCCCGAGAGCTGAGGGATGCCAGGGGCACAGGGCTAGGGGTTCTCTAGGTTTTCTCTGGTTTAGTTTCCTCCCATTTAGGCACAGTCAGAGTAAGCGAGTTTGTGTGTGTGCACACACGTGTGTGTGCGGGAGTGCTGGGTGTTTCTCTGCCAAGCAGTGTGAGGGGAAAACCGCCTGAGGCGAGCTGAGGAGGCCACACCACTTCTTAGGAAACAGGTTCCAGGCGTCAGTCTCCATGAAGGGTATCTTTGGCACATGCTGATTTTGTAAAAAAGTAAAACAAGTGATGCTGTATTACTCAGCAGGCTGCTAGAACAAATACCATCGACTGGGCAGCCTAAACAATAGGAATTCACTTCCCATAGCTTTGGAGACCAGAAGTTCAAGATCAAGTTCCCTCAGGGTTTGTTTTTGGGAGAGCTTTCTCTTCCTGGCTTGTAGACTTCTTGCCTTTCACATGACTTCTTCTCCATCTTCTGTTCAAGGGTGGGAGGGTGTGGGAAGAGGGTGAGTGCGCTGGGGTCTCTTATGATAAGGTTAGTAATGCTATTGGAAAAGGGCCCCACCTTACGACCTCATTTAACATTAATTGCCTCCTTATAGGCTCCATCTGCACATAAAGCCACACTAGGGTTTGGGGATTCAACCCAACTTATGAATTTTGGGGGCACACAATTCAGTCCATTGCCCACATCTTCTGAATGAGTTAGACACTGGTTTCTAAATCACAAGGGTTTTGGTGGTCAAGCTGAGCGGTCTAAGCAGGATGCAGCGGTGATGCCTCTCTTAGCAGGGCCGGGGCCCACAGAGCCTGCCCAACGTCCCTCCCCACAGCCCAGCAGGCAGGCTATGTCTATCGCCTGCTTTAATAGAACAGCACTCACATCTCGTAATGGCACTCGGAATGGGCACTGCCATTCACTTAGAAGCTGAAGGCCGCCTTGCTGGAGCCCAGGGTGCGGGTGAGCCGGCAGGGGTCTGCCTCTTCTCGTGGACACTCTCCGGCCCTGATCCTATGCAGCACAACTGGGAGGCCAGGCTATGGGGCGCTGGGGCCTGTGCGAACTGGGACGTGCTCGGGTGTCAGGTGCGATTTCGAGCCTCGGTGTGAACAAACGACCAGCAGCGTTTGGATACTGGTTACATGTCGAACGATACTCGTATCTATCGGATTGAATACAACGTATTGTTACGATTCTTTCTGGCCGTTGCCCGTTGCCTTTCTCCAGCATAGCTCTCAGACTCCGAGCACTACGGGCCTGCAGTCCAGTCGCGGAGGGCAGCGGTTCCAGGCTCCGGGCACCAGCCGACTCCGCCCTCCCCGCCGCCGAGGTCCGGGCGGCTCAGGCTGTGGAGTGCATAAAACCTCCGGTCCGCCCTGGCCGGGAACTCGGCCTGTCCTCGTCCTCCTCTCACATGTGCGGCCCGGCGCGGTGAGCTATGGGGGCCACGTGTTCCGGCTACGAGGGACAAGGAAGTCGGTCCGCACTGCGCACGGGGCACTGCGCACCGCCGCGCGGCCAGTTCAAGAGGCGCCGTGGGAGCCGGGCCTTTTCGTCGTAGGAGTGCGGAGGGCGGAGTCAGTGCGCGACCGCAGCGCAGGGCGGGATGGGGCGGGGCTGGCACGCAGGCGCGGCTGACTGACAGGAGCGCCGCCGAATGCGGCCCGGGCCAGCAAGCCCCGCCTGGTTCCTCAGGCCCCGCCCCTCCACTTGGATAGGCCCCGCCTACCCCGTACGTCCCCGCCCCTCCGTGCAGGCCCCGTCCCGAACGCCCCTCCCGCGCACGCCGCTCTCCGCACGCCCCTCCCGTGTATGCTCCGCCCCATACGCCTCTCCCATGCATGCCCAACTCCGCACGGCCCTCCCGCGCATGCCCCGCCCCGCACGCCCCTCCTGCGCATTCCCCGCCCACACGCCCCGCCCGCAAGCCCCGCCCACACGCCCCGCCCGCAAGCCCCTCCTGCGCATTCCCCGCCCACACGCCCCTCCCGCACGCCCCTCCTGCGCATACCCCGCCCCGTACGCCCCGCCCGGGAAGCCTCGTCCACACGCCCCGCCCACACGCCCCTCCCGCGCATTCCCCGCCCACACGCCCCGCCCCTCAAGCCCTGCCCACACACCCCGCTCCGCTCGCCCCTCCTGCTCAAACCCCGCCCTGTACGCCCCGCCCCTCAAGCCCCACCCACACGCCTCGCTCCGCTCGCCCCTCCTGCGTATTCTCCGCCCCGCACGCCCCGCCCCCGGCCCGGGGCGGGACTCTCCTCCGCGGTCGGCGGCGGCGGCGGCGGCGGCGGCGGCGCTGCGGGAACTTCGGCGGCGGCGGTGCTAATGGCTGCGCGCGGTCCGCGGTGAGCGCAGGCGGAGAGCGACGGGCGCGGGGCCGCGGAGCAGCGAGAGGGAGCGCGCGCGCGGCCGGACCCAGCCAGGCCCGGCCCGACCCGCCGAGCCCGCGATGCGCCCCGGGGCCGTCTCCCGGCGCAGCTGACGCCGCGGCCGCGGAGACCCCGGCCGGCCAGGCCGCGATGGCGGGGAAGGCGGCCGCCCCGGGCACCGCGGTGCTGCTGGTCACGGCCAACGTGGGCTCGCTCTTCGACGACGTAAGTGCCGCCGCCGGCCGGTCCCCGGCCCCCGGCCCCCGGCCCCGACCCCGACCCCGGCCCCGGCCCTGAGCCCTGGGAGCTAGACCCTGAGCCTCGGGACCCCGGACCCCGGCCCTGAACCCTGAGACCTGGGACCCCGGACCTGAGCTCTGAGACCTGGGACCCCGAGACTCCGACCCTGAGCCCCAAGCCCTGAGTCCCGGCACCCAAACTTGGACACTGAGCCCCGACACTGAAACCCTGAGCCCCGGGACCCTGGATCCCAATTCTCAGCCTGAGTAGTATCCCGGGACCTGGACTTGAACACTGAGCTCGGACTCTGAGCCCCGGGACCCTGACCCTGACCCCTCGCCCTGACCCTGAGCCCCGCCTGGACCTTGGACCCCAGCCCTGAACTCTGAGCCTCAGGACCCTAGAACCCAGACCCTGATCCCCGTTTCTGATCCCAGAGTCCTAGGATCTGGACTGGGATCCTGAATCCCAAACCCCGGGACCTGGATCCTGAACCTTGGTCCTCCAAACCCCAGTGCCTCAAACTCTGGGACCCTGAACTCTGGAATCCTAGTTCCCCAGCCCTGGCCTCCAAACTCTGTAGGCTGAACCCAAACCCCAGAGCCCAGTGCCTGAACCCGGGTCTCTTAACCACAGTCCTAATCCCTGTCCAAGGTCCCCAAATCCTGACCCTGGAGCCTTAGTCCTCAGTCCCCAAATCTGGCCCCAACCTTGGTCCCTGAATCTTGACCCCAGAACCTCAGCCCTGATCCTGGTCCCTAAACCCCAACCCCTAACTTCTGCTCTCTGACTCCCAGCTCTCCGTTATCCTGGCCCCTGGCCCCTGGCCCTGTCTGCCTGCCTGGCCGGCTGTGGCTGACTAAGCTGCGGAGGTGTAGGTGCCCTCATTTTACCTTGTAACTTAGTATCTCTCTAGTTCTCAAACAAGGGGTGTCTGTTGAAAGCCATGGAGGACTTGATGTTTCTTGTTTATTAAAGAGAAAGATGCTGAGAAGCTCTTCCAAGGCCAGAAGAGGGATGCTGACTGCCCGAGGCCTTTACCTTCTAGGGCCTCCCATCCCGGCACCCAAGATGGTCCTGGGGAGATGGAGCCGAGGCCTGGGTTCCCGGAGCTCCCGAGGCAGGCCAAGGCTGACCTAGTTCGGTGTTTCAGCCGTGGTGCCACCCTGCTGTTGGTATTTAAACTGCCAACCCAAATAAAGCAGAATGCGGCTCTGAGTGGCATGCTTGTGTAAGAAAAAAGGGTGCTGGCACAGATGGAGCCTGTGATGGCCTTGCACTGTCCCCCTTCCCTCCGCAGGTGAGCGGTGGGTGCTGTCACCCCCGTGGTGGGGCTCACTGATCAGGCATGACAGATTCCCCAGGAGGGCTCTTGCTGAGCCTTTCTTTGCCGGCACCAAGCCTGGGTCAAGTGTTTCAGTAAGCTGAGTTCATGTGCAGGCCAGGTTTGATTTTGTTAATAAAAGGTGGGCACTATTTTTGTGTTTTTCTTATGTTAACTTCCAGGCGTCTATGTATTATACTTCCCTGCTGGAGGTGAGCTGCTTTCCTTCTGACTCTGTTACAGACAACTTTATCTAGTTTCATCTTTGATCATTTTCTACAAAAGTGCCTGGGATGGGTGTGTGTCTATATATTTAGCATTCTATTCTCGGCTTTCCAGTAACATGCCACTATAACATGGTTTTGCCCAGATGATTCAGATCCGTTAGCTGCGGCTTCAAAGCCTCAGAAATGTCAGGAAAATTCAGCATGGTGGGGCATTTAAGTCTCAAAGGGAAAAGAATTTTGCTGTGCAAACATTCTTTCCAGTAATCTTTGATTCTGAGTTCTAGCATTCTTGTTGTGTTTCAGCTGTATACACACACTTCTCTCTGTTGACATTAAAATGGGTAACTTAATTTTCTTTTGTTTAGCCACGTGTTCTCTCTAAATTTTCATTTGTATTAAAGGCTATATGGAGTTTTGCATTATATTTACATCTGGAAGGAACATTTGTTTCGGTAAACAGTGCACAGGTTAATTCTGCAAGATGTCTTTTGATGTAAGGGCTACTGAGAATTATCTGTCTGTAACCCACAGATTTCTTACTGTGTGGAGCTCAGGCTCGAGGGGCTGGAGCTACCTCCTCCAGTGGCATGGAAAAGCAGCTGGAGGGCGCGTTAGCCAGCCTCACCCATGGTCCTGGGTGCCTTCTTTGGTGGAGATTTGGTGCTGTGGTGCTGGTGGGAGAGAAGCCTGGCCGGTGAAAGCAGCGAATTCTTGAGTAAAGGACATTTTAATTCCTTGGTTTGTAGTAGGTTTCAGAGGATCTGCGTGGTGGCTCCATTGGTCTTTGCATGACCTGTGCTGGTGCTGACCAACACACTCCAGATGGTGGTGAGGCCTGGGAATGAATTCTTCCTGGCCCAGTTTCATCATCTTGGAAACCAAGCTCCAGCATGTGGCCAGGGCCGTGGTCTCTTCCTGCAGGGTTATGGATCCGAGGAGGAGGGGCGTGTGAATTAGAAGCAGCCGTGCCGTGCTGTGAAGGACATGGTTGTCCCTTTGTGCACGAGGCACAGGCAGTGTGTTTTTGCTCCTGTAGGACCGTAGTCTGCCCTTATTACCTCCTGCCATCCGGAGGTGACCACTGTCAGAACTCTGGCTGTAGATTTAACCATGGCTTGGCCCTAACATCCTACGATCCACAGAGCGTTTGCTCTTTCCTTGTGAGCACCCCTGACTCCGTCGTGTCCCCCAGAATGGCCAGGCCACGTTAGTCCCCACGGGGGGCTCCTCACTGTGTGATGTTGCAGACGAGGTGGGGGGTAAATCTCAACAGTACATTGGTTCTCGAACTTTTACTCCTTACGTTCTTAAAAATTGTGGAGGGCCCCAAAGAGCTCTTGGTTTCATAGGCTCTAACTACCGATATTTACCATATTGGTAGGTAGAAACCGAGGAAAGCTCAAACTGAGAAAGTTGCGTAGCTGTCAGAAGGGTGACGTCATCCACACGGTGCTGTCTGGAAGGCTCACAGTTCACTCAGGGGTGAGGATGGGAAGGGAAGTCAGTGTGTCATGTTATGATATGAGCACAGCTCTGACTTTGAGAGCCCATGAATTGGGCTCCTGGGCCCCCCACTCTGAGGACCTCTGTCCTTGCTGGTGGCCCTTCCTGAACCTGCAGGAGCTTCTTCCTGCCTGGGGCCTGGATGTGGCCGGGGGTGCTGTGAGGTTTCCAGGTTTATGGTGACCTCCAGATGGCCCTCAGGGAGCCTGTGGTGGGTCTGTAACCTGGACTGGGCTCCTGCTGTCACTCTCCGTTTGCCTGGAAAGGGGTGGCCCGGGCTGTGTACCTAATTGTTTTGCTTGAGATGGCTGGATTTTTGACAAGTGAGGTTTCTAGCTTTTGGTTTTTTGCATTTTACTGGAAGTGAGCTGAGGGGGTGGATTCTTGTAGGCTGTGGTGTCAGAGCTGGGTCCCACCCTGACGTGGTAAGGCTGTTTGTTTCTTGGGAAGGAGACAGCTGAGCAGCCGGGCTCCGAGAGCACAGCTCACTCTTGGTGTCTGCCTGCAGGGCCCTGGTCCTGCTGCTTATTCGGAGGTAGGTGTCCATTTCGAGCTGGTTTCCACTTTTGCTCAGTTGCCTCCTGAGCAGAGCGGCTGTGCAGGTGGGCTCTGCGGGGCTCCTTAGCCCTCACTACTGAGGAGCCCGCCGGGCTGCAGGCCTCGAGGGCCTTTCAGACAGCAGGGTCCTCGAGCCCCGCCCTGGGCCAGGATTGGCCCTTGTCTCTCTCTCATGCACCAGTAGTTTTCCCATCCTGCCCTGACCCCATGCCCCCTCCGCCTGCTGCGGCCTCCCTCACTCTTCATCCACAGCGCTGCACGCAGGGTGGGCACCCTCTCCGCCCAGCTTCCGCCCCCGCACTCTCCCACAGGGCTCCATGGAGTCCATCAGGACCTTGGGCCGGAGGGGCGGTGGTCGGTACCTGCCCTGGCGGCTCCTGACGGCGTGGGTCCCTCTGCTGCTTCAAGGGCCGTCGTTCACAAGCCGTGCACTTCACCCATTTAAAGCGTGCTATCCAGTGGTTTTAAGAGCATTCACAGAGTTGGGCACCTATCACCACATCGATTTTAGGACATTTTTTATACCTGAAAAAGAAACTCTGTGTGCCCCAGCAGTCCCCCCTCCAACCCTCCGTCTCCCTGAACCCCCAGCCTCTGGTAGTCCCCCGTCTACTTTCTGTCTCTAGAGATTTGCCTGTTCTGGACATTTTCATAGAAATGGAACCGTGTATGTGGCCTCTTCCGCTTGACATACTGTTTTCAGAGCTCACCGTGTTGTGGCGTGTGTCAGTGCTTCACCCCTGTTTATGACTGAACACTCTTCTGCTGTGTGCGTACACCGCAGCTGTTGGTCTGTCCGTCTGTTGATGGACATTTGGGCTGTCTCCACTTCTTGGCTGTATAGACAGTGCCGCTGTGAGCGTTCGTGTACAGGTTTTTGTGTGGACATGTGTTTTCATTCCTCCTGGGCACGCAAGGAGGGGACTGTGGGGGCTTTGCCGACCCCGTGTTTAACCTTTGAGGAAGTACTGGCCATTTCCCACATGGTTGGTCAGCCCCACCTTGTGTCCCCACTGGCTGTATTCGGGGTTCTGACCTCTGCACATCCTCCCGGCACGCGATGTCGTCTTTTTCAGAGATATTTTCCGTGGACACACACGTGTGCTCTGCTCCTCACCCCCACCTCCCAGCCTCGGCTGCCCTCCAACGGGCTTGCTCACGGCCCCGGGGAGCTCAGGCCTTTCAGGACTGTCAATGTGTGGATGCCCGCTGCAGCGCCGTGGGGGCCAGCTCCGCTAACTCCGCTGTCGCCTGGGAAGCCAGTGCACAAGGCCAGTGCCGCGAAGTGGTGGAGACGTCTCTTCAGAGAGACTGGGGCTCCTGAGTTCCCGAGCAGCAGTGTCTGCCCTGTCCGTGCGCCCGCAGAAGCAGGC